GGGGTGTAAGTGTTTTACGGCGCTCACAACAGCATAAGGTCATATGAGCAAGTGCACCATTTACTCTTTAATGTAACTGACGAGACTACAGTTTGTTATCTTGAGAGTAGTCTACAGGGTTGGACACCATTTCTTCAAAACTAACCAAAGCTTTCAAACTGGAATAAAGTGCCACACACATGAGAGTTTGAAGGAATAAACTAATTTCAGTTGATCCTTTTTCAGCTTTTCCCTCCCACCACAATATAACTATCTTTTAACCTGAAATTGATCATACTGCATTCAAACTTCAAAGAAAATCTCAACTTTCTTGTTCTTAACAGATCAAGTGGCATAAAAAAGAATATGAACAGTTAAAAGCAGAAAAGATAGGAAATTTTAAATACCGATAAGAAACAAAAAGGCAGACACCAATCACAGAAATATATAGAAAAATCTCACTCACATTGAGCATCAGAGCTGTCTGTTTCCGAGGAAGGGTCCCAAAGTTTACGTTTGTAACTATCTTCAGGGCTGCGCAGGAGAACTTCGGATTTGTCTGAAATAAAATCAACAGCCCTGTAAGCAATACATTTCCGACTGCTTGCTTTGTTGTTTCATCCTTCTCAAATACACTGAAGTAGCGTCATTGAAATCAGTTGTGGTTGAAATCAGTTGTAGTTGACAGTCCGACAGAATGAGAACAGGAACACTGTCTAAAATGTTTAGTTAATTGAAAAGAAGTAGATCATGTAGACCACACTAGAGCTTCTAAATTTTCAATTTACCAGTACCAATCAAGACAGCAGTTAAACAAACACACAATCCCAACCCCCTCCCCCACCCCAAAAAGAGAAAAATGGAGAGAGCAAACAGAAGTACAGCATTCACTACCCATGTGCTTACAGTCAAGCAAACACAATGACATCACTTACAACTGATTCAATTAAAGCAGAAAAAGAACCCCCAAACAAAACGCGACATCAAATTCAAAGTTTTTTAGTTCTAGTAGAGGTTTTACAGCGCTCTCAACTTCATAAGGTCATATGAGCGCCAGAAGATTAGTTTTAGTTTTAGTAGAGGTTTTACGGCGCTCGCAACTGCATAAGGTCATATGAGCGCCAGAAGATTAGAGCTGTT